TTCCCTACAAAGGAATGGAAAGACTGAATTTTTTCCTTTATAAAAGGGATGAAGAAGGCTATTACAGACTAATGCAAATTAAGAAGGAAGCAGAGATGGCAATATCAGTATCAGGCAAAGTAGAATTCAAATAAAAATCACTCACTTATACTTGTGAGACATTCTATAAAGCTAAACCATATAATATACCACGAAGATATAACATGCATGAACCTCAATATATTGAGCAACAGAACACTGGACATATAAAGTTAAAACTGCCTGAAATAAAAGAAGAATTGGATAAAAATTACAATTATAGTAAAGATCTTTCTTAAAATGTGACAGATCAAATAGACAAAAAGGTAATAATGGATTTGGAAAGCATAATTTAAACATAATAATAATAACAAACAGTTTGGCTATATATGTCTAACTTTTTAACCTTTTTTCTTAAGCAAAAGAGAATACACATTTGTTTTCAATGCCTAAAGGACATTAATAAAAGTTGATCATGTAACAAATCGTAAGAATAATCTTAATGAAACTGAACTATCATATAGGTCATATTCTATGACCATGGATGTAGGGGGATTAGAAAGTAATAATAAAAAGATAATTAAACCCCGCCCCCAGAAGTTACATCTCCCAAATATCTCTTGAGTCAAAGAGGAAATCAAAGCTGAAATAATAGACAATTTAGAAAATGAGAGCGGGAACACTAACTCTACGGCCTGCAGCAAAGTTGAGCCCAAGAGGAACTTTAGCTTTAAATGCTTGTATTATTTAAAGAAATCATGAAATCTAGAAATCATGAAAATAACTGAATCATATTTTTCAACTCAAAAATCAGAACAGGATAAGTAAAATAAAATGTAAAAAGACAAAGAGTAGTAATTCATGAATGAAACAAAAACAAAGTAAAATGTAGACATGGTTCTCTTAAAAAGTCCAATAAAAGTAGATTATTTATTCATTCTACAGTTATTTATGTTCTGGGCATACACTCTGAAAACAAAAAGGACAAACTTGTCTGATTCACTTTGTTGTACAACAGAAACTAGCACAGCATTGTGAAGCAGTTATACTCCAATAAAGATGTATAAAAAACAACAACAAAAAACCCCCATGACAAAAATAAATAAAAGTTTCATTTAGAAGTTTAGGTTGATAATTATGGCACAAACACCTATAACTGGGAGAAATCTTGGAAAAATAAAAATCAAACCCTGTTATAACCTAGATGTCAGAGAATCATGACTCACCCATGTCATAAATGTTCTGTGTAAAAGCTCCCACCTCAGGCCTTTGTGTTTTCCGTTCTTCGTGTCTGGAACCGTCTTCTCCCAGACATAAGCTCTGCTCAAATGCTGCCTTACCAGGAATCTTTGTTTGACCACCGCATTTTCATCCTCAGTCTGCTTTATTCTTCTTCATATCACATATGAAACATGTTGATATCTCCCACTGTCTCTCCCACTAACGTAAAAATCCCTTAGAGGAGCGGGCTCTAGTGTGTTCACTGCTCTCTTCCTGGCGCTTGACCGATGAATGGCTCATTGTAGACTTTAGATAAATGAAATCTTTGTCAAATGAAGGTTGTTCCACAAATCATTACTGTGTATATAGGTGACATGGTTTGATAAGCATATAACAAATCCCTGATGAGTGAGGTTTTATCATCTTCATGATCTAAATTTTTACATATTTCTCAATAGTGCATGGGACAGAGGCAAAGCCAGCCTGGCTCTCCACTCTTTGGAGACCAAGGTCTACAAGGTCTGGTCCCATGTCTGCTGTGGTAAGTGGTGGCTTTCTCATGGAAACCTCCAGTAATTCTCATTCACTTCTGGTTTGTAATTACATTGTACCCAAATGAGCTCTATGGCTCCCTACTAAATACTAAGTTCTTTAAGGTTTGTTTCGTAATGGTCTTTGTATGAGTCAGAGAGCTTAGTGTTGTGCCTGGCATACATTCAGTCCTCCATACTTTTTTCCAAAGGAATGAATGAAGAGAAATAGCAGTCTCCATGGCCTCAGATTTGCAGGAGTGAAGTGATATCTGGTACCCAACCTTAGCTTCAAGACCTTCAATCTGCATCTTAGCCCTTAGTGCCATCTTCACACCAGGGACTTACCACCTGCTCAATCCAGAACCCTATCCTGGCTCTGCTATGGATTCCAGGCAGGATACTCCCCACATCTTTTTGCCATCCATTTCTAATGTGGCAAAATGCTGGGATTGGAGCCAGACATATCTGCTGAATTCAAATCCTACCTTCTCCAGAAACCAGCTGTGCATTCTGGGCCAAGTTCCTGCTTTATTTCTCTTTCTTTCTACCTTTCTGAACTCAATGTGACAGAGGCTGCTAGTTGTTCACCAATATCCATTCTTTTTCCTTTTATTATAGTACCTCTAAGCTTTAACTGGCCATATGGCTGCCCAGTTAGAGACTGCATTTCTCAGCCTTCCTTGCCCCTAGCTCTTGCCCTGGGGCTCAGTTCTGGCCAATGGGAGTGAACAGAAGCAAGGCTTGTCACTTCCAGGTCATACTCCTAAGAGGAATGGTCTTACTCTCTCCTCTTGCCCTTCCCCCTTCCCTCTGGCAGGAGCACAGTCATGATGGTGGGAGCTGAAGCAATCACTTCAGGCCCAGAGCTGGAAATCATGTAGTGAGAATGGTGGAGCTGCCCTACCAGCCCTGGCCTGCTCATCTCTGGTCTTGTGGATGAACAGAAATACACTTCAATCTTTTTTAAACCTCTGTATTTGGGGGTCTCTTTGTCACAAGAGCTTAGACTATACTCTAGCTAATATGCTCAATTGTGTTAGCTGTAAAATGAGAATGATACCTAGCAGGGCTGTTCTAAGGAGGAGTATGCAGTAGAAGTTTAAGGCTTGTGTGGCTTTTAGCCTGATGTCAAAGTCACAGTCTGAGCAGAATAACAAAGTAAGATATCTGGAGTGTTTGACTAGTGCCAAAGTCAGTCACAGTCAAGATCAGGCACTATAGTATCACCCCTACCCCCCATCCCTCTCCCACTTTCTCCACTCCCTCTCAAATCCCTAAGCTCTAGGGTCAGCCAGTGGCCAGTTGGCTAATGAAACAGTAGGAAGAGAAACGTTTATGGTGCTGGTGGCAGGGAAGGACAGACATTTGTCCAAAAGAATTTAATTTTTTACAATGGCAAATGCCATACAAACTCTATTCCTTATCTCTTCCTAAAACGTTTGGTAAAATATCCAGTTCTTGCTGCAGTTTTGAGGAGCTAAATCTGTTTTGAGGCTATGTTTATGTTTTGAGTTCAGCCTTAAGGGCAAGCCTGGAGGGATGCTTGGACACTCAATGCAGCAGAAAAGGAGCAAGCTGGCCAGGAGCTGCTGCACTGTGGAAACCCAAGAGCACATGAGGCCTATGTGGGCATCCATCACCCTAGAACACTGGAAAATTTCACTAAAAGTTGGAAAATGGTGATTTTTGACTACAGATCCATAGTCAAAACTGGAAAGACTCAAACTATAGATTCTTAATTAAAGTCACTTGAGTTTCTCCCAACCTTCTCACCAAAAATAATTGGTACATCCTCTATTAATACTAAATTTCAAAATTCACATATCATCAGGGAGATTTTGGCATAATTAAGTACCAACATAATTAAAAAGAAATGTCTCAGCACTTACTTCACCGTATTATGGGCTTGGTTCTCCATGTCAAGAAACTGCTGCATCTGATTTGTATTTCTTGATTTTTAATCTGTGAGGGGAAAAAAAATGATCTAGATTCCTAAAATGCTTACATTTATTAACCTATAAAACAAGAAAATTTTGCTACTGGCAAACCATGTTGTTATATGAGTTTTTCTGAGTGTAGTAGCTCTTGGTTCCACAAAACGTATAAACTTGCATGTGTGTGTGTGCCCCATGCATTTACTGGCTTAGTGATGAGTTGAAATAGATGCTACTGACTGAAGTGAACATTCATTCACTATCTAATGAACAACAGCTTGGTGCCAGGTACTTTGCAAAGTGCCAGCACATGAGATAAGTAAAACAGAATTCCTACTCCAGACGGGTCCCAGCTGAAGTTACTCAAGCTTTCCTTCCTGGTGGTTCCCCTAAAGGTCTGCCTTTATTTGAGTAGATTCTTTCTTTGGCCCTGTCTGGATTTAGTTAGAATGAATATACCACGAGATTTAGGACAAAAAGCGTAAAACTGACTAAAAATAGAAATCTTACAATTCCTCAGTGGCTCTGTGGGCACCTGCTCACCCTTTTGACAAAACAGAGATGTTAGTACTTCCTAAAGTAAAAAAAAAAGGTTTTTCCAGCAACGTAGTTTTAATAAAAAAAGAAAAAAATCTATGAGGATAAATGGACAAATATTGAAAAGGACTTTGACTCCTCTGAATAAAAGTTAAACAGCATTCAAGATGGTAGAAAGAGGAGGAAGACAGGCGGGCTCGTGTCCCTCTCAAATCAGAGGGATTAAAGAGAGACCCTGGAATTGCGAGTGGAGCAGAAGGGCAATGAAAACTTGACCAGTACGTTCAGATGAATTATTTCATTTTGTAGGTTCTCAAATCCCTCACTTTAACATCAGGGAAACTGAGGCACAGACGAGCCAAGTGACTTGCCGAAAGCCACACAACTAGAACACAGACCTTCCAGTTTAGGGAGAATCTCTGTTCTGAATTCTGCAGGGTCATTCCGAGCCTCTCTCCACCCGCCCCGCAGCCCGCGCCCCCCGGGAGGGTTCAAGGCCAGCCTCCGCGGAACAGCCTGTCTGTTGGGGGTCCCCCGCCCCTCTTGGGCAAGCTGGGCTGAAGGTCGAGGGTCCGAGACGGGTTACCTGCGCCGCGCCGCGCTCTCCCGAGAGGTCTGAAGTCCCGAGAGTAGGAACGCCGGGGCCACCCCCAGCCCGGCCCGCCCCGAGGGCCCCCCGCCCGCCCGCCCGCAGCGCGGCCTCC